AGCAAACCATTATCATCGAGCCGATTCCAACTCATAGCGACCCTATAGGACAGAGGAGAACTGTCCCATAGGGTTTCCAACGAGCGCCTGGTGTATTCAAACTGCCGACCTCCGGGTAGCAGCCGCAGCTCTTAACCACTATGCCACCAGGGTTGCCACTAGGGCTCCAGGAGACTGTAAATTTGAATCTTGGCTCTGCCACTTGCTGGTGAGCTACTTAACGTCTGGATCAGTAAAAGGTGGTAACAAACTCTACCTTTCCGAGTGGTTGTTTAGTTTGGATAAATCAAATAAAGCTAACTTAACACAGTGTGGGGCATATACAAAGTGCTCAAATGGTCCCTATCACTATTAATAGTAAGTGAAGTTAATAACTCAATGACTCAGATGAACGCGGATGAAACAAAAACGTTGGTTATCAGCTGGGATTTTAATAGCAGGACTCTGAGTGCATCACCTTACCTCACGGTGTATCAGTAGCCAAGCTCAAATGTTAATAATTTACCACTCACCACTGAGCTCGGAGAAGACACTGCTTCACACAGACTACTATCTATAAGACAAAATATTCAAGGACAAACATAGACTAACAAAATATTCTCTAACGCACATCATTTTCAATGCGTGCTTTTGCTGTGGCGAAGAGAACTTGTTACGTGCAGGATATTGAATGGGAGCCAGAGGTCAGAGCAAGATTTCTCAAATTTTTATACTAAAAGGCAGTGCAACACCGAATCCTGCAAACTTTAACAATCCACCTCCGGAATCCAAAGCTCCCAACGCACTTTGGCTGCAAAGCGCGCGGCGTGCTGCTGTGCGGCAGGGGCGGACCGCGGTCGTACAGTGGCCGTAAAGTGCGGCCCGGAGACCACGTGGGCTCAGCTTTCCCTTCGGTCGACCTTGGAGGTCCACGGCCGGGGGTCATGGCGGGCCCTTTGCAGGGAGGTCGTGTAAGGGCACTGGACCTGCTGCGAGCCCTGCCGCGAGTTAGCCTGGCCAACTTAAAGCCGAATCCCGGCTCCAGGAAACCGGTAAATGGCTGGTGGCGGTGCGGGAAGCGCAGGGGGACTGGTGCTGTCGAAGCGGCTCTTCGCTCTTCCCTCCTCGTTGTCGACAATCCCCCGTTCTGGAGGAGTGTTGGGATGAGCCTGGCGTTGCTGACCCCCTGTTCTCCTTCACTGCAAAGAGGAAAATCCAGGTGGTCCCAACTCTTAAAAAAGGCTTACATTTAGAAACACCAGTATATTAGGGCGGACGAGCAAACTGGAAGAAAGTACAAAATGACCGTCATTCAAAATCGGGTTTAAAATGAAATGCTTTCTCAGGATATCTTTATCTTCATTGGAAAGATCTGAATTGATGTAATACGTTAGATGTCTCTTTTGCGGCTCCCTGAGTACAGCTAGAAAGGTTGATAGCCGATGTATTGTCATTTTTACAGGTTCAAGTCATTGCTTTTGTGAAGTGACGGGAAGTAAATTAAAATTATTTTCTTTATAAGTCACTCTTCAAATAAAATATATGGATGACAGTTAAATTTTTACAATTAATTCCAAAACAATTTTTTTTCTCTTTATCGAATGTCATATAAACTTTTGTGTGGATGTTTAATTCTAGGGGTTTTTCCAACTCCATCCTGTCATATAAAGTCCTTTTCCCCATCCCATCCATGGAACTTTGCCTGTGAAACACAGCTTGGACTTGGTAACGAGAATTAGCCACAGTTCAGAGGGAAAGATACTTATGTAGAATGTGCAGGTATATGAGCAGCTGGAACAGTGTCCTGCACAATAGTACATGCCTAGTCAGCACTGATTGGTTGGATGAATTAATAGTATAACCACAACAAAAATACAGTAAAGAGGTGAAGTGCAGTTTTTAAAAATGTATCTGTACATCATAAAATTCCCTTCTTTCCTTGTAGGAGAGAAGACCAAGAGGTCGGAGAAGAGGTAGAAAGTGTGGCAGAGGCCATAAAGGAGAAAGGCAGAGAGGAACCCGGCCTCGACTGGGCTTTGAGGGAGGCCAGACTCCATTTTATATCCGAATCCCGAAGTACGGGTTTAATGAAGGACATAGGTAAGGTTTCTTTGCTTTTTAAAAATAGAAACCCCTAATTTTCACTGGGAATCACTTAAAAGATAACTTGGTAGAAATTTAAGTTCACTTCGAGGCAAACTTTTGCTAATGTTCCTCTGAACAGTATTATTTTCTTACCTCGCAGTGTATCAATAGCCAAGTTCAAATGCTAATACTTTACCATTCACATTATTTTGTTCTGGGCTCCCCACTGAGCTCAGAGAAGACATTGCCTCACACGGATTACTATCTGTAAGATAAAATATTCAAGGCCAAACATGGACTAACCAAATATTCTCTAACATATTTGGTAATGAAATTTAGCTTGGGTTATTGTTGTTAGTTGCTGTCGAGTCAGTTCCAACTTATGGTGACCCTATGTGTGCAGAGTAGACTGCTCCATAGGGTTTTCAGAGCTGTGACATTTGGAAGCAGATTTCCAGGCCTGTCTTCTGAGGTGCCTCTGGGTGGGTTTGAACCACCAACCTTTGGCTATTCATTGAATGCTTAACTGTTTGTGCTACCCAGGGACTCCTTAGCCTGGAATAGTGGGGGAGAAAGCTTGCACTTTGCACTCAAATCTGCAAAATGAAGAGAATAATACCTATTCTTGTGATTGGAGGATTAGCAATAATATGTATAAAATATATGGTCCATTGTACTCAACCAGTAAATAACTACCATTACTACTTAGAGCTTCGTTAGTGTATAACTCAGTGAGTGAGTGAAGTAAATGCTTAGAGAGTTAATTGTTTTTAGTGAAACAAAGGAAGTACCGGCTGCATTTCCTTACCAACCTTATTAAGCAGTATTACGTTTGGGTTGTACTCAGGAGCTCTTGTGGCACAGTGGTTAAGCACTTGGCTGCTAACTGAAAGGTCAGCAGTTGGATCCTACCAGCTGCTTTGCAGGAGAAAAATGTGGCAGTCTGCTTCTGTAAAGATTACGGCCTTGGAAACCCTATGGGGAAGTTCTACTCTGTCCTGTAGGGTTGCTGTGAGTTGGAATCAACTCCATGGCAGTGGGTTTGGTTTTTTTTTTGTTTCGGGGTTGTACTCAGAGGGTTTTATTCTGTTAAATTGCTGAGAGACAAAACTTTTTTATTTTTTTCTTCTTTTAATTGTCCTTTACATGAAGGTTTACAGAACAAATAGTTTCTCATTTAACAGTACGCATATTGTTTTATGACAATGGTTAACAACCCCATGACATGTCAACACACTCCCTTCTCAACCTTGGGTTCCCTATTACTAGCTTTCCTGTTCCCTCCTGCCTTCTAGTCCTTGTCCCTGGACTGTTGTGCCCCATTAGTCTTGTCTTGTTTTATGGGGCTGTCTAATCTTTGGCTGAAGGGTGAACCTCGGGAGTGACTTCATTACTGAGCTAAAAGGGTGTCCGGGGGCCATATTGTAGAGGTTTCTCCAGTCTCTGGCAGGCAAGAAAGTCTGTTCTTTTTTTGTGAGTTAGAAAGAATTTTGTTCTACATCTTTCTCCAGCTCTGTTCAGGACCCTCTGTTCTGATCCCGGTCAGAGCAGTCAGTGGTGGTAGCCGGGCACCATGTATCTGTACTGGACTCAGTCTGGTGGAGGCCTTTGTAGCTGTGGTCCATTAGTCCTTTGGACTAATCTTTCCCTTGTATTTTCTTCATTCTCCCTTGCTCCCGAAGGGGTGAGACCAGACGCTGCTCACCAAGGTAAAATGTAGAACATTTTCTTTATAAACTATGTTATGCCTATTGAGCTAGATGTTCCCCGAGATCATGGTCCCCACAGCCCTCCGCCCAGCCATTCAGTCCCTCGGAGTTTGGGTGTATCTATGGAGCTTCTGTGACCTTTCCTTGTACAAGTTGTGCTGGCTTCCCCAGTATTGTGTATTGTCTTACCCTTCACCAAAGTTACCACTTATATGTTGTCTATTTAGTATTCCCCCCCACCCCTCCCAGCCCTTGTAACCAACAAAGATTGTTTCTTTTTGTGCGCAAACTTTTTCATGAGTTTTTACAGTAGAGGTCTCATACAATATTTGTCCTTTTGTGATTGACTAATTTCATTCAGCATAATGTTCTCCGGTTTCATCCATGTTATGAGACGCTTCACAGATTCATCATTGTTCTTTATCGTTGCATAACACTCCGTTGTGTGTATGTACCATAGTTTGTTTATCCATTCATCTGTTGATGGGCATCTAGGTTGTTTCCAGCTTTTTGGTGTTGTGACAGTGCTGCAGTGAACATGGGTGTGTGTGTGTTTGTGTGATGGCTCTTATTTCTTTGGGATATATTCCTAGGAGCGAGATTGCTGGATCATATGGTATTTCTATTTCTAGCTTTCTAAGGAAGCACCATATCATTTTCCAAAATGGTTGTATCATTTTGCATTCCAAGGGACAAAACTTTGAGTTGATTTGGGGAAGTGACAGGACTATTGATTTGACTGTTTTCTGACTGTTACTCTCTTGTTTGGTAGCTTCAGGCACCAGTATCAGCCCCTGAGTCTCAATAGACTGCAGTATCTTATTGACTTGGGTCGAGTTGATCCTACTCAACCTATTGACTTAACCCAGCTTGTCAATGGCAGAGGTGTGACCATCCAGCCACTTAAAAGGGATTATGGTGTCCAGCTGGTAGAGGAGGTAAGTCTGAATTAGATCTTTTGGGATAACATAGAAGGATATGTTTAGGTTCTGTATAATCAACACTTTCTGTACACCCTTTTTTTTTCCACGATTATGGGGTTTATTAGGGAAGTAACAGGTTGTAATTCAGGTTCAGGAACACTCAGGATACAGTTCCTCCATTAGGACAGCCTCTTCTCAGCTGTGCCCACAGGCATGCCTCTGTCTGGCTCCTTGACCTCTGCCCTGCCAGAACAAGTGTTACAAAGCTTTTAGCTCTGCTGCTAAGTGCCATGGTGGCTCAGTGGTTAAGAGCAATGGCTGTTAACTAAAAAGTCAGCAGTTTGAATCCATCAGCCACTCCTTGGAAACCACATGGGGCAGTTCTACTCTGTCCTATAGGATAACTATGAGTCGACTTGACAGCAGTGGGCAGGATAAGTGCCCTGCCACTCCTCCAGTAAGCGTTGGCCCAAAGGCACTCAGCTTTAACTCCGTGGGTCTGCAAACCTAACTCCACCAAGTGCTCAGAGGCATCCTACTCTGCCAGCAAGTCTCCTGCCTGAAGGTGCTCAGCTTTCTTGCTCCGTGGGCCAGGAAGCCTACCACGCTATCTCTTGCCAGTCTCCTGGTTCTGTTGCCACCATTTCTCTGCCACTGCTTCTCTCCATCTCTGGTGTTACAGCTCTCACTCTCTGTCTTCAGTGTTACAGCTCCTAATCTCTCTCTGTCAGTGTCTCCCTTTAAGCCTAGAGAGATGGCAAAACTGACCAATCGCCTTGTTAGGGTTCCATACATCTTATTTGCATAGTCCCACTCAGTCACTGTGTGTGCGTTACAAAGATAGATTCACTGCTCGCTGTCAGTCCTTTTGCTGGCGTCTTTCCATTTGTCTCTTTTTTTTTTTTATAGTTGTACTTTAAGTGAAAGTTTATAATTCAAGTTAGTCTTTCATACAAAAGTTTATACATACATTGTTATGTGACGCTAGTTGCTCTTCCTATACTATGTGTGACAGCACACTCCTCCTTTCCACCCCTGATTTCCCATGTCCATTCAACCAGCTCCTGACCCTCTCTGCCTTTTCATCTCACCCCCAGACAGGAGCTGCCCATTTGTCTCATGTATCTACTTGAGCTAAGAAGCACACTCTTCACGAGTATCATTTTATGTCCCATAGTCCAGTCTAATCTTTGTCTGAAGAGGTGGCCTTGGGAATGGTTTTAGTTCTGGGTTGACAGAGAGTCTGGGGGCCATGCCTTCTGGGGATCCTCCTGTCTCAGACCATTAAGTCTGGTCTTTTTACTAGAATTTGAATTCTGCACGCCACTTTTCTCATGCTCCATCAGGGACTCTTTGTTGTGTTCCTTGTCAGGGCGATCATTGGTGGTAGCCGGGCACTATCTAGTTCTTCTGGTCTTGGGCTGATGCAGTCTCTGGTTTATGTAGCCCTTTCTGTCTCTTGGGCTAATACTTTCCTTGTGACTTTGGTTGTACACCCTTTATTTTTATCCCTTTGAGTTGTCATTACCCTTTATTTTTATCCCTTTGAGTTGTCATTACCCTTACATAGTGGTAGATTGCATCACTCCCTGATGTGTTTGGAGAGCCAAGGTGACTCTCATCTGCAGTGGCTCTTCCCTCTGCCTGGAATGCTCTACTCCTGCAAGGCCATGTGGCTGGTTCCTTCACTTCTTTTGCTTCTCCACTCAAATATCATCCTATCAGGAAAGTCTTTTTTTGATATCCTTTTATAAAAGAGCATCCCCCCCTGCCCCACCATCCTGCTCCGGGCACACACTGCCTTACCTACCCAAGGCATTTTTCTTTGATTATATATGAACACCTGATGTTTATTACCAAGTTATTCATTTATTTTTCATTGTCTCCCTCACTAGAATATAAGCCTCTTGAGGGCAGGTACTTTGATTCATTGCTGTATTTTCAAAATTGGAAGCATTGGCACATGATGGTCACTGAGTAAATATTTATGGAGGAAAAGAATGAATCAAATTTTAATTGCAACAAAGAAGTTTTCTATGATAGGAATTGACCAGGAGTTTCATAAGCAAATAAACTTTTATACAATCAATTACTCCTGTTTTCTATATGTAAATACTATAGCCATGGAGGTACCTTACTGTCCACTAGAGGAAAACATGTTTATAGAAAAGCCTTTTAGATACCTTTGAAAAAAATGAATCTATGGATGAAAAGCTGTCCAGATACAATAATTTGGAAAGAGAGAGAATACAAATTATATGAGTAACCCCAGTATTCTATTTCCGTGGTCACAGGAAGGAAATATACATGTTAATTAACACATGGAAAAATTTATGACTTCCTCAGCAGTTAAATTGCACATCCTAATGGGCTTTGTAAGCGTATAACTATTAAGCTAGCAAAAATAATTCTTAAAACTCTAAACCCAAGGCTGTGGTGAAATAAATATAATTATACATCATTTATAGCCCTGTAAATTGGTTTACTCTTTCTGAATTTCAGATTTGCAGTAAATAGTGGATAATAAGACTTTTGATCCTTTGGTACAGAATTACCAATTTGAGAGTATGTGTTCTCAAGGAAGAACAAAATAAAAGCAACTTAATTGATATAAAGACATTTTTAAAAATGCTATATTACTGAAAATACTGGAACTAACCCTAAGAATGGGGATGTGGTTAGGCAATCTATGGAATATTAATTAAAAATAATAAATAATGTGGCAACACTCTATTTTATTGAATTAAAGATACGCTTGGTTTGGAGCCAGTTTGTTTCAGGCACAGCAAAATAGTGAAAAGTTTCTGTCGCCACAAAAAGAATGGTAATGCCCCATCTTTATTTTTATCAAAATCTGTTTTGAAATTATAGAAAAATATAACACATCCTGACTTGTGACCAAAATCAGAACTTTAAAAAGTTTACTACTACGTTTTCTAGCATTGACTGTTCTAGAGAAAGATAGGTTTATTTTTTGTCAATGTAAAGGCTATAATAAAGTCAATAGTGAATGCAAAGTGAATTTCTGATGTCCTCTTCTGCCTTTTTTCCCTAAGAGGGCCAACCACTCCAGAGCTCAGGTATGATTGTCAGATACTCTGTTTTTGTGTGCTCTAGCCCCACTCGTCCACCTGTTTAGCCTTCTGATGGCCTCTTGTTTAGGGATAAGTAAGATTAGTTTTTATCTATATCACACAGCATAGTGTTGTAGTTAAGAACACAGACACTGTGACTCAATTCCCTGGGCAAGAATCCTTGCTTTGTGACCTCACGCAGGCTACTTAGCCTCTCTCTGCTCCAGCGTCCACATGTATGAAGTTGGAATAGCAATAATACCTGTCATAGCCTTGGTATGAGAACTAGACATTTACTATTATGAAGCACTTGGATTGGGTGGTGGCATACCTGTCCACAAAATAAATAAAATAATCATCCCTACTTAGAGGGAATGAAAATTGTTAAAACAAGGTGGCCTATGTGAGATGTAAAACATTTGCTAGAACATCAAAGCAGAGGTATTTAAAATAGGAATTACTGTTACATTGTAGGCACTTTGGAAGAGAAAGCACTATTCCAAAAAGCAAGCTTGCTGAATTAATTTACTTTTAGCCAAGCTATCTACTAACAGACTTTGTGTTGACATTTTATAGGGTGCTGATGTCTTCACGGCTAAAGTTAATATTGAAGTGCAGTTGGCTTCAGAACTTGCCATTGCTGCAATTGAGAAAAATGGCGGCGTTGTCACTACAGCATTCTATGATCCCAGAAGTCTGGGTAAGCTCATGAAACAGCTGTTTTCTTCTCTCCCTCTTTGTCTCATCCTGGCTGCTGCTTTCTGATTAATTGGTGACTAGCAAATGTTGGAAGTTATTATTTGACCTACATCTGTCATATAGGTCATTATGATGTAAAGAATAAAGCATGTAGCTGACAGATGTGACAGGGCAGAAAAGACTCGACCCCTCCCCTGAGCTCCAGACCCACAGCTGCCTGCCCACTTGACATCTCCATTGGAATGTCTAGCAGGTGTCTCACACTTAGCATGTCTGAAATTGTTTTTTTCATCTCAGTCTGCTCTTTTTGCAGTCATCCCCATCTCAGTATATTATAACTCCCATCTTTCTGGGGGTTTTTTTGTCAAAAATTTGGAGTCAGCTTGACTCTTCTCTTTCCTTCATACCCTAATAAATCCTATGAGCTCTGTCTTCAAAATATGTCCAGAATCCAGCTGCTTTTGATTATCTCCAGCTGTTGGCCAGTCCAGCCCAACCACCATCCTCTCGCCTGGATTGCTGGGAGGCCTTCCACCTGGCCCCTCTGCGTTGCTCTTGCCTACAGTGTAATGACACAGAAGAGCATCCCCTTTAAAGGTCATACTGTCCTCTGCACAAAACCCCAACGTGTCCATCCATGCCTACAAGGTTGAGTGTAATCTATGCTGCCTCTTACCTCTCCTCCTCCTAAACCCCCTGCTCATGCAGGCCCATCGTTGGCCACCTGCCCTGGCATCCCTCCGCACTTGCTGCACTCACCTCAGATCTTTACCTGTGCTCTTCTATCTGCCTGGAGAGCCGCTCCACATAGAATCCTCATGGCTCTGGGCCCTGCTCTTCCAGGCCTCTGTTTTAACTAGCCCTTGTTAATGAGCTCTTTCCTGCCTGTCCTAACTAAAAGCGTGCACACACAGAAATACCACACACATCCCAGTACACACACACAACCCCCAGCACCACACATACACGCAGCAACACCACATACACAAACGCCACACGCATGAACACCACACATGTGAATACCACACGCATTAATAACACATATACAGGCAACACACACAAAAAAACATGCATGGACACCACACACACAAACATCACACACATGAACACCATATACATGTACAGATGAACATACATAAACACCACACACACACTCACTTCTTGTCCCCTTGCCCTGTATGAGGTTGCCCTTGACAGCTGTCACTAGCTGACAAAAGTATAATTTCGTTTTTCTTTCATGCCCTTTGTCTCCCATCCCTCATGATGATGGGACGTTTTTTGTTCACCCTTGTATCTCCAGTGTGTAGAAAGTGCCTGATGTTTGTTAGAGGCTCACTTAAAAGTTGTTGAATGAATGAACTGGATTTTTGAAGGTGCAGAGATTCGAACCAAATGTAGCTTGTTGACTAAGTGCTTTTACAAAGGGTTCTTTGGTGCTTGTACATTCAAATAGGAGTTAAAAACTTCCAGGCCAAATCGCTCAGTTAGAAGATCATTCTTTTTTTTTAAAATTGTATTTTAGATAAAAGTTTACAGAGCAAATCAGTTTGTCTCATTAAACAATTAATACACATACTGTTTTGTGACATTGGTTGCCAACCCTACGACATGTCAACACTCTCCCATTCTTGACTTTAGGTTCCCCGTTATCAGCTTTCCGGTCCCTTTCTGCCTTCTAGTCCTTGCCCTTGGGCTGGTGTGCCCATTTAGTCTCGTTTTGTTTTATGGGCTTGTTTAATCTTTGGCTGAAGGGTGAACATCAGGAGTGATTTTAGTACTGAGCCGAATTTTTAAAATTTGGTTGAAGTGGAACAATAACTGGAATGGGAGAAACTACAGGTTGCAGCCATAGAATGGGAGACTCGGAAGAGGTGTAGCAAGCCCTTTCAGGAGCCTGATGTGGGAGACTGGATTACTGCCAGGACTGTGGAGACCAACACACATTCAAAGCTGTGTGGTCAGCTGCCATCTTTGAGTGGGCTACCACTGTTTCCGACTCTGCCAGTCAAGAGATTTGGTTGCTATGCAATGTGCACACTATCCTTGTTGTCTAAGAGGGTGATTAAGTTTCTAGCAGGGCTTCGAACCCATATCTTTTCCCATTCTGGTCGTTTCAGTTCACCCACATTTTAAAAATTCGAGTCCATTCGGGTTTCGCTTCGTCGATCATGACTGAATTGGGCAGAACTGGTTTGAAGCCCTGGTTTAAATATTTACTGGCTACCATGTAGGAAACTATTTCTATAGCCCCAAGGCTATGTATGGCCTCATGGATTATGACTAAAACTAGTGGATGGAAGCTCCAGAGATGTTGATGCAGTTAAAGAAAGCGTTGACAAAAAAACAAGCAATGTATTACTATGTAGATATGAATGTATATATTACATGCCTCTTTCCAAAGATTCCAGGCAGTTACCTTTCAGCCTGTTTTATGCAGTGGTATTTGGCCATAACAGATATCTCTGCCTTAATTTGGTTTCTGACATTCTAAAATTTAAAAAAACCTGGTTGATGCAAAACAAAAAACCTAAGGATGGAGTACACTGCCTCAAGAAATACTAAGTCTCATATAGGTTCAAATAGAGGCCAGGTGATCACTCGGACAAGGTAGTATCATGAGGGTTAAAATACCATAAGGGTGTGTGAACCAAATAACCTCAAGGCCCCCTTCGACTCTGTAATTCTATAATTGCCTGAAGTGTAAATCTGTATTTTTATTTATGTATTTATTTTTTATTGTGCTTTAAGTGAAAGATGACAGTTCAAATCAGTTTCTCATACAAAAATTTATATATACATTGGTATGTGAACCTAGCTGCTCTCCCTGTGTAATGTAACAGCACACTCCTCCTTTCCACTCTGGATTTCCCGTGTCCATTCAACCAGCTCCTGTCCCTTTTTGCCTTCTCATCTCACCTCCAGACAGGAGCTGCCCATTTAGTCTCAAGGTATCTACTTGAGCTAAGAAGCACTGTCTTCACGAGTATCATTTTATGTCCCATAGTCCAGTCTGATCTTTGTCTGAAGAGTTGGCCTCGGGAGTGGTTTCAGTTCTGGGCTATTGGAGAGTCCGGGAGCCATGTCTTCTGGGGTCCCTCCAGTCTCAGTCAGACCATTAAGTCTGGTCTTTTTACTAGAATTTGAGTTCTGCGCCCTACTTTTCTCCTCTGTCAGGGACTGTTGTGTTCCCTGTCAGGGTGGTCATTGGTGGTAGCCGGGCAACATCTAGTTCTTCTGGTCTCAGGATGATGGATTCTCTGGTTTATGTAGCCCTTTCTGTCTCTCGGGCTAATATTTTCCTTGTGTCTTTGGTGTTCTTCATTCTCCTTTGCTCCGGGTGGGTTGGGAACAATTGATGTATCTTAGATGGCTGCTTGCTAGCTTTTAAGACCCCAGACACCACTCACCAAAGTGGGATGCAGAACATTTTCTTAATAAACTTTGTTATGCCAGTTGACCTAGATGTCCCCTGAAACCATGGTTCGCAAACTCCTGCCCCTGCTACTCTGTCCCTCGAAGTGTTTGGTTATATTCAGGAAATTTCTTAGCTTTTGGTTTAGTCCAGTTGTGCAAGATCATTCTTTTAAAATAAGTATATAAAAGGAAATATGGGAAGCATTTGTAGCTTCTGTTGTAAAGAGTTTGAAACAAATAACTACCGTTTCATTTTCCTCATAATTGAAAGCTTTGTAAAAATATTCACCAACGTAATTCTCATCTCTCACTTGTTGTAGATGAATGTTTCTTATTTTGGTCCATCACTCATGTTTTTTAAGAGTGATCTGCCTCAAATATGAAAATGAGTGTTTTTCTATAAAACAATTGCAGACATTTGAAAGACTTTTTGGCATCAGTAGAATGTTTTCAGTCAGTGTTACCACAAAATGTGGCGTAAGTGTTTGCTTCACAGACAGGGCTGTCAGCTGCCGTAAGCAGGCCTCCTGGGTGGCCTCATCAGCCTGTGGTTCGTGTGCTGGTGGCACTCCCCGATAGCTCTGCATCATTAAAAAAACAATAAAAAAGCAAGCCTTCTCATTAAAAAACAATAAAACAAGCCTACTCCTGGCCTTAGCATTCAGTAGTAAGTTTGTCTCCAAATTTACTTTGTTGTAATTTGGCTCCCCAAGTTTAAAAAAAAAAATTTTAATGCACATTTTCCTTCACTTTCTGCTAGGTCTATGTTAAGAATAAGAAGAAAGAGTTCTCTCTCTTTTGTGAACCCTCTGGAAGAAGGTTTATTGAGTCAAATTTTTAAAGTTTAAAATGAACTGTATTTTCTTTTGAGAAAAGGTTGCCACATACTCTTTTGATGAGAAGACCTTTCATCGTGGCACATAATGCCTTATTTATCTTGTATTCCTGTAGGACAGGCAGCCATAAGTACGTGTTCCTGGTTTTCTAGAACTTGGAATGGCTATAGCCAGTGTGTTTTAGACTTAAAAGAATTTGGGGGTACAGGGGAGTCTAGTTCATTTGGTGGCTGTAGACTAATTCTGACAAAGTCGTGTAGCTACTTAGTAGTGGAACTGAGATTGTCTTCATATGAGGGTATTCCACTATATGGTTAAGAGCTTGGCTGCTAACCAAAAGGTCAGCAGTTCGAATCTACCAGCTGCTCCTTGGAAACCCTGTGGGGCAGTTCTGTTCTGTTTTGTAGGATCGCTATGAGTTGGAATCGACTCAACAGCAATGAGTTTTTCGGGTGCCTCCTTCATACACTGCTTACTGTACTGTACTAGTTGCCATCAAATCAGTTCTGACTTGTGGCAACTTTGTGTGTGTCAGAGTAGAACCATGCTCTGTAGGGTTTTCAATGGCTGGTTTTTTGGAAAGTAGATTGCCAGGCCTTTCTTCTGAGGTGCCTCTGGGTAGACTAGAACCTCCAACCTTTCAGTTTAGCAGCTGAGCATGTTAACCATTTGCACTACCCAGGGACCTCATATACTGCTTAGTTTCTTAAAAATTTTTTTGAGTGAAGGGATATGTTATCTAAAACATTTTACAAACTTCTTTCTTAAACCTATTTGAAAAATAATTTCTTGATGAATGAAGAACATCATATCAGACATAAAATATGTAGTTAATGTCCATAGTGGAGTATGTAGGATCATTCATCCAAGGCATTCATTAGTTTAGATAGCTCTGCTTTTGTAATCCTTGGTGTTGACTCTTCGTAATATGCAGTGTTTAGTTCTCATTTCTGTTTGTGGCCTGCCTGGAGCACCCTCCCCTTCCTCTTGTCATTAGGCATTTGCTTTGTGTTGGGCTGCTACTGGGTAGCCAAATGTATTAGAGTTGTATACAACTGCCATATTCTTGCATTCAGCAAATATTTATTCATTGGCTAGTGTTTGCCAGACCCAGCTGTAGGTGATAAGAGAGACAATAGGGCAAAAGAGTCAGTAATCCTTTCCTTCAGAGAGTTTATATTTTGGTGGATGATAGTTAACATGTATTGACTTGATTGTGTAAATGTGTGATGTATTGCATGGATTAAATCAGATCAGCTTCTTAACTGCCCTATGAGGTATGTATGATTATTTTCAGGCTTTCAGTAAGTCTTTAATACTATTTTGATTTATGTGACCTCTCTTGTGTTTGCACCTATGGTTAAGGTTGCATTGCTAACCCTTGGTAAGTAGGGTGTCATTGTATTCATACAACTGTGTTTGTAATTGTTTTCTAAAATATCTAAAGGCCCTGTGGCACCTGTGATATTTTACGCATAGGCCTTTTTTCCCTGCCTCACCGTCCCCATATCTGCACTTCAAAGCCTATGTTTCAGATTTTTAGCGTTTGAAAAAGAAATCCGAACTGGGATTCTCCAGTATTCTTTAAAGGCATAGTATACGTGTATTTGTTGCTTGGTTTCACTTACTGTTTGCCTACTGGTAAGAGTATTCAGTTTAGTAATTCTGATATTCTAGGAATCTTAATGCTTCTGCCTAACTTTCTAAACAAGTCAGACCTTTGCTAGGGTTTTAAGTCTTCCTGGCTCTTTGACTTGCATTGTCTGTTAGCGGTGTGGCCTGCAAGCTCTGTGGAGGCTCATCTTGTTCTAAACATACCTCAGCCTGTATGTTACAAAAATGTTTTGTTTTCGTGTTTTTAAACATGGAGCTTAAATACAGTGTTATGGATGTTCAGAAATTTCACAAATTGTTGGTAACCCAAGAGTGAGTATGACTTTCAAGATGCAAACTATTGAAAATGAAGGTTTTTCTATTTGCTTAAATAAGACAAGTCTATTTAATAAAACACTTCTTGAAATAGAGTTCTGATCTTGGTAATATTTAAAAATGAATAATTGAAAAAATCTATAACATAGTTTTTATGTACATAGCCAATATTTGCATCTCTGTTTTTATTTTTAAATTCTTTTTAGAAATTTTGTGCAAACCTGTCTCATTCTTTTTGCGTGGAAAACCCATTCCAAAACGAATGCTTCCGCCCGAAGCACTGGTACCATATTATACTGATGCAAGGAATCGTGGTTACCTGGCGGATCCTGCCAAATTTCCTGAAGCAAGACTTGAACTTGCCAGGAAGTATGGTTATATTTTACCTGATATCACGAAAGATGAACTCTTCAAAATGCTCAGTGCTCGAAAAGATCCACGGCAGATCTTCTTTGGTCTTGCTCCAGGCTGGGTGGTGAATATGGCTGACAAGAAAATACTGAAGCCCACAGATGAGGATCTCATCAAGTATTACAGCTCATGAGCGCCCCCAAGAGAGCGGTGTTGTCAGAATGCTGGAAAGGGACAGATGCATATGTATTTCTCATGGACTTCTCTAATGTCTAATTCTCCAGATGTTCACATTGGTTTTCAGTGTAATCATTGTCTCTTGTTTTTATCTAAAATAAAAATAAAAATGCAATAAGTAAGAAACTGAATCAGCCTAGGTTCTATCTTAATTAAAGAAAGATACAAACTTCCTGATATTTTGTGACCAGGATGGCCTTTACATTCTCCTTTGCTTGACCAAATTTTAGATAGGCTTCCTTTTGACCCTAGATCCCTGATTGCCCTCTTACCCTGGTCCAGGCACCTAACCAGAGAATCCCTTAGCTTCCACCTTCACCTCATTCCTTACGGAATCCAGGTAGCTGGATCACAGAAAAAAAAGAAAACATTAGGAGTTGAACGACCCTTATTGCAAACATTAATACCCATTCCATCAGTCAATCCCCCCTAACATCTTTCAGTATTTTCCCACTAGCCCACCCAAGCCCTTAAGAACCCTGCTGTTTTGTTTTAGCAGAGTTGAGCTCAGACTTGGTTCTAGTCTCATCTCCCCTATTGCAATACTTTTTTTTAGGGGGGAGGGTATAAATATCCTTACCAGTTTTAGCATTGTTGGCTGTAATTTTTCTTTGACATCTGTGGAAAGAAGATTATAATTATTTTAGAGTTTTTGTAGTCAGATCTTTTCATCTGTGCCTTGTTTTGTTACTGTCACAAATCAATATGAACATACGAGTGAAATGTGGCTGATTTGTAAGGCCGGGTAGGCCAAGGCTTGAGCAGTTACTAATGAGCTGGTGGCCCCTTTAAATCAGTAACCCAAGGGAAACGCTGCCACCCAGTGTCAAAATGACAAGCTCCAACTCAGGGAAGAGTAAGATAAGGTATGTGAGTTTCAGACTAAGTCTGGTGAATAGCTTCTAAGTAGTACGATATTTGCCAGCAAAATGGAAGATTAAAGAAACAAATCCTAAGTGAATTCATTTTCCCAAGTCTGATAAGAGTGGACCAATAATGGTTAAGCCATTAACAATTTTTTAAAAATAATTTTGTTCATGAAATCAACAGTTTCTACATGTACAATTTGGTGACACTGATTACATTCTTCGAATTGTTCAACCATTCTCACCCTCCTTTTCTGAGTTTTTCCTCTCCCATTAACATAAACTCACTGCCCTTAAGTTTCCTATCTGTTGTTGTCAATTTGATCCCATACAGACAGATCTTAAAAGAGCACAATGCTCAATACTTGAATATAATGTATAGAGGAAGAGAAATGAGAGGTTACAAAGAGAAGTGCTCAGCTAAAAGGAAATGTGTTTTTGTTGAGTATTACAGTGAGTCATTAAATTTGTCAGGAGTAGAATACTTCTTTTTTTTAAGTCACTGCTGGGAAAAAACCATAGCTTTTAATCATAAAAATAGTTCATTCCTACCTCCTAAATTTAAACACTTAAGCGCATCAAAAGACTTCTCCAAAGGAGTTAAAAGAGAACCTACAGCCAAAAAATTTTTCCCAATGACATACCTGACAAAGGGACTAATCTCTAAAATTTATAGAAAACAACATGTCAACAACAAAAAGACAGTCCAATTAAAAAATGGGCAAAAGACATGAACAGATACTTCACCAAAGAGGACATTCAGGGGGCCAACAAATACATGAAGAGATGCGATCATTAGCCATTAGATGCAAATCAAAATAACGAGATCATTTCACCCTGGCAATAATGGCGATAATCAAAAAAACAATGACAAATGCTGATGAGGGTGTGGGGAGATTGGAACTCTCATACATTGCTGGTGGCATTGTAAAATGGTACAACCACTGAAAAATGGTATGGCGCTTAAAAAGTTAGAGATAACAACAAAAAAACCAAACCTTTGCCGTCAAGTGAATTCCGACTCATAGCGACCCTATAGGACAGAAAAAAACTACCCCATAGGGTTTCCAAGGAGCACCTGGTAGATTTGAACTGCCGACCTTTTGGTTAGCAGCCGTACTCTTAACCACTACGCTGCCAGGGTTTCCAGAGATAACATGATCCAGCAATCCCACTACTAGGTATATATCCTAGAGAAATAAGAGCTGTGGCATGAATAGATACATGCACACCCCTGTTCATTGAAGCATTATTCACAATAGTGAAAAGATGGAAACAACCTAAATGCCCATCAATGGATGAATGGATAAACAAACTATGGTACATACAATGGAATACTGTACAAAGTTAAATAATGATGATGAATTTGTGAAACATCTCACAACATGGGTGAACCTTGAGGACATTATGCTGGGTGAAATAAGTCAATCACAAAAGGGCGAATATTGTATGAAACCACTATTACAAAAAGTCAAGAAAAGGTTTACACACAGAAAGAAGCATTCTTTGATGGTTACCAAGGATGGGAGGGGGAGGGAGGAGAAAATCACTAACTGGATAGCAGACATATATTAACTTGGGTGAAGGGAAAGGCAATACACAATAAGGGGGATGTCAGCACAAGATGACCAAGGCAAAGGAAGACACTGGGAGGTATGCAAGAGTAAAAGGCAACAATAAACCCTGTTGCCATCGAGTCGATTCCGACTCATAGTGACCCTATAGGACAGAGTAGAACTGTCCCATAGGGTTTCCAAGGAGCAGCTGGTGGATTTGAACTGCTGACCTTTTGGTTAGCAGCTGAGCTCTTAACCACTATGTAAATAGTATTACATACACAATCTTTCAATAACAGTAATAATAAAAATGTATGAGTGGATACATAGGTAGATATGTGTCATGGATTGAATTGTGTCCCCCAAAAATATATGTATCAATTTGACTAGGTCATAATTCCCAGTATTGTGTGATTGTCCACCATTTTATCATCTGATGTGATTTTCCTGTGTGTTGTAAATCCTGTGTATGATGTTGATGAGGTGGGATTAGCGCCAGTTATGTTAATGAGGCAGGACTCAATCTACAAGACTGAATTGTGTCTTGAGCCAATCTCTGTTGAGTTATAAAGAGAGAAGCGAGCAGAAAGACAGGAGGACCTCATCCCACCAAGAAAACAGTGCCGGGAGCAGAGCGCATCCATTGGACCCAGGGTTCCTGTGTGGAAAAGCTTCTAGACCAGGGGAAGATTGATGACAAGGACCCTCCCCCAGAGCTGACAGAGACAAAAAGCCTTCCCCTGGACCTGGCAGCCAGAATTTGGACTTCTAGACTCCTAGACTGTGAGAGAATAAATTTCTCTTTGTTAAAGCTATCCACTTGTGGTATTTCTGTTATAGCAGCACTAGATGACTAAGACAGTATGTAAACTGAATAGGTGTGGAATGGCATATTGGAGTACACCCATGAGAATATATAGGTTTGGCAGAGGATGTTTATATATACATATTTGTATGTGCTGTAGGATATTCATGTATATAGTAGAACATACAGGGGGCAAAGTTATGAATACTTCTTAGCTATAACCAAATACCTTGAGGGAAGAGTCACTGAGCTTGAGGGCTTAGGACAGTAGTCTCGGTGACATCTAAGTCAATCAGTGAAACAGTCCATAAAGACAGTGTTCTACATTCTACTTTGGTGAATAGCAACTGGGATTTTAAAAGCTTGTGAGCAGCCATCTAAGATACAACTATTGGTTTCTTCCTGTCCAGAGCAAAGAAGAGTGAAGAAAATCAAAGACTCAAGGAAACAATTAGTCCAGAGGACTAATGGACCACATGAACCACAGCCTCCACTAGCATGAGACCAGAAGAACTAGATGGTGCCTGGCTACCGCTACCCATTGCTCTGATTGGTATCACAAGACCAAGGTCACGGACAGAGTGGGAGAAAAATGGAGAACAAAATTCAAATTCATAAAAAAGACGAGACTTACTGGTCTGATAGAGACTGGTGGAACCCCTGAGACTATGGCCCTTAGACACCCTTCAAACCTGGAATTGAACCCACTCCTGGAGATCACCTTCCAGCTGAATAATAGACAGGCCTATAAAGTGAACAGTAACACCCGTGAGGAACATGTTCTTCAGAATAATCAACTATATGAGGCCAAAAGGGCAGCATTTGCCCAAAAACAAAGTTCAGAAGGCAGGAAGGGACAGGAAAGATGGATAAATGGAAATGGGAACCCAGGGAGGAAGTGGGTAGAGAGCTGTCACATTGCAACTAATGCCATGAAATAAAATGTGTATAAATTGTTGAATGGGAAAATAATTTGCTATGTAAACTTTCACCCAAACCAAAATGCAATGTTAAAAAAAAAAAAGCTCATTCTTGTTTTGACAAGTGTGTAATATTGAAGTGTAAAAAGTAAGAAGGAAAAGTACATACTATTGTTGCCTGTCCCTGAACTACTTCCCAGAGGTAACCAAACCACTGTTAGTTTTTTTTGTTTTTAATCAAAACGGCATAAACTCTGGACACTGTTCTGTGAACTAGCTTTTTAAATCTAATATATTTCAAAGACATTTTTTCTGACTACTTTCTATTAGGGCATTGTCTTAGTTATCCAGTGCTGCTATAACAGAAATACCACAAGTGGATGGCTTTAACAAAGAGAAATGTATTCTCTCACAGTCTAGGAGGCTCGAAGTCAGAATTCATAGTGCTAGCAACAGGGGAGGCTTTCTCTCTCTGTCGCCTCTGGAGAAGGTCCTTGTTATCAGTCTTCCCCAGGTCTAGGAGCTTCTCAGCGCAGGGACCCCAGGTCCAAAGGACATGCTCCACCTCTGGCTCTTCTTGCATGGTGGTAATGAGATCCCTCTCCTCTCTACTTGCTTCTCTCTTTTATGTTTCAAAAGAGATTGACTCAAGATGCAACCTAATCCTGTAGATTGTGTCCTGCCTCATTAACATAACTGCCTCTAATCCTGCCTCATTAACATAATAGAGGTTAGGATTTACAACACATAGGATAATCACATCAGATCACAAAATGGAGAACAACCACACAGTACTGGGAATCCTAACCTAGCCAAGTTGACACACATATCTGGGGGACACAATTCAATCAATAACATTCCACCCTTAGGTCCCCCCAAATTCATGTCCTTGCTGCATGTAAAACATGTTCAGCCCATCATATCCCTAAAGTCTTAAATCAACTCCAAGTGCAAATTCCATCCTGTGGCAAAATTCCTC